TGTTAAAAATATATATATTTGTGTCAATAAGCCTGAGTGGTCTGTTGACTGACTGTTGTATTTGTTCAAATAATTGTTATGGGCAGGTTACAATATAAAAAATTGTCATAATCATGTCTTGTGATTATTTGACAGGAGTTTTACTTTTAAAATGTAAGTGTATTTAATTTAGTTATAATGTAAATACAATAAAAATTAAACCAAGATTTAGAATAATTATCATTTTGATCCACACAATGGTAATGTCTGACTGGGCCTCGTGACACTTTATGTTCAATAAATTGGGCCCCGAGGTCAAAAAGGTTAAGAACCCCTGAGATAGACTATATAAGATTCAATTAATGAAAATTGCAGACTTTCATGTTCTGTAAATTGTATTTAAAACAAAGCTGCTTCTGTTGATCATTGTTTTTTTTATAAGCAGCCCTCCTAGTAGTCTAGAGGAAACACTGGAAAGGTCTAAAAATAGGTTTTTGAAGATGTTTTTGATAAAACAATTGACTGTGAGTGACTCACTCTGCAATGTTTGCATCTGTTTAATCAGATGTCATATATTATGTATCTCTGTGTGTAACCATGTTAATATTTTTGTAGTAAAAATACAGTACACGTTTTTCTTATATTTAATCAAATTTTAAACATTTTTGTTTCGGGCAGTTAACATTTTTTTATCAGGCAGGTAAAAAATAAATCTTGTCAAACCCAGCCACAGTGACTCATCYTCCTCTATCTGTCCTCTGTTCAACTACCTCCATGTCCTCTCTAACTGCATCCTTCTACCAATACACCCACTGTCCCTCCTCTGGACATGTCCTCACCATCTCAGTCTGGTCTCTAACTTTATCTCCCAGCCCTTCAACCTGGTCTGTCCCTCTGATGATCTCTGTCCTAATCTTCTCCATCCTTGTCTCTCCCAAGGAGAACCTCAACATTTTCAGCTTGAACACTTCCAGTTGTCTCCTGTCTTTTTGTCCATGTCTCTGTCTCCAAACCAGACAACATAGCTGGTTTTGCTTATGGTGGACAAACTGCATTGCAAATATGACAGTCATGTAAAGGTTGAAATATTTTTCGCTGTCCTCTCAGTTGTTTGCTTTGTTTGTTATCCATTCTGAGTTTCCTCTCGTCTTCCTGAGCTTGCATTTTGGATCCTGCATTTTCTGCATTGCCCTGATAAATTTTAACCAACCAGAACATCCCTTTAAAAATTTATATGATTATATTAGCCATCTGACACAATATAAATCCATAAAAACCACTTGTCGTAATGCAGCAAATGTGGACTTCCCTAATTCAGGGAGTCGTTAACCACTTAAAGACATTAAACACTGAGTAATTCAGACTAGCCAGCAGAGGAAGAACAGGATAAATGTCTAACTCCTGATGTGTGTCAGCTCTTTGTGGAGGTATTCAACCATTTAACTGATTCCTGTTTTAAAGCAATTTTCTACAAAACTTCCACTATCAATGGAAATACAGCTAATAAAACAAAGACAGGACAACAGCACTACTGGCTGATGTAGCAAAGCAGATATCATCTAAAAGAAGGCACAGATACAAATACAGTAAACCCTCAAAGTTGCAGTTTTTCATAATTTGCAGGGGTTCTAAGAACAAAACCACCATTATAAAAATATATCTTATCAAAACATTTTGATCTGAAATAAAATCCTGCTGAATATTTTTTGTTGGTTTTAATCAGTAAAAATCAAGACACTGTTRGAAGCCTACTTACTGGCTAAGGCGTGTGATCCATTTTCCTCTCCGTTGGCAGCTCCCTCTCCATTCTTGGCGCCACCCTGGGGTCCTGCGCTGCTGCCGCTGCCTGCTGCCACCTCCTGCTGAGCCAGCTTGTCTTTATAGGCCTGCTGCCTGGTCTGGACTACATCTGGCATAACAGCATCGATCAGAGACAGCGACTCGATGGGCCGTCCATCAAATAAGGTCCCATCCTGCACAGGAAACAGACCAAACCAATATAAACAAAGCCTGAAACTTCTGATTGATGCTTGTTAAAACAAAAGCACAAAAACAAAAACAAAAACGAACAGACACAAAATGTAACAGTGCAACGTTTCTATCCTGAAGATTTCACAAATAATTCCTGAGAATGTAAATATCAGGGCTGACCTCATTGATGCTGACTTCAGCCTCCACATACTGCAGGCCCTTCTGAATGATGGAGATGAGAGCAGCAGGGGGCACCAGGGCGCCGTTGATGTTGGATTGGCTGATGTGGCTCTCTATGCCAAAGGTGAAAGCTGAGTGAGAAAAACCTGGAGGAGGAACGGATAATTGGAAAGTAGGATGAAGTTGGTGCTCATTTGCAAAGCACCCAGAGCTTGGGTATGAAAGTTCATTTGTAATCCTTTTTAAGTAATAAAAACTCCTGAAACTACAGCTCAACTTAGAGGTACTCTTATAGACTTACCTGACTCTTGCAGGTATCTGTAAACCAGAAAATTGACCTCATCACTGCTTATGCTCATTTTGGTCCTGCTGATTAAACCATTGGGTCAGCACAGGATAGGAGCCTGCAAAATAAGAGACCGTGTCAATTTATTAAGMATAAAATTCATCCAAAAAGTGTTTGTCTTTTTTTCCCTGGAGCAGCAAAACTGACTGTCAGATATGTAGTGTAAACACTGCTGTATGAGATAAGCTGAGAACTGGAAAAYAAAATCAAACTGAAGAAAATGAAATGGTTTAAAACAAAAATCAGCCCTCATGGCCTCGATCTGGCAACTTAAAAATGAGTTGGCAAATACGAATGAACACATTTGTAATAATTTTTCAAAATAAACCTGTTTCTTATTACTTATATAATGTGTTTTAAAGAGACTATTATCCGTGAAATGTCCTGTTTCTAAAAATTATTGTCTTTGTAACACTTCAGAAGAACTCAAACTCTTTTAGATATGAGTATTAGTGGAAAAAAATACAATTATTTTCCTCTCAGTCACAGAAAATAATTAATTTCCCACATTTTAATGCCTGTTTCTATTCTGAACCCTGAAGTGTTCATGCTCCTGATCAGGGGTGGATCTAGTGAGCTGTGGCAGTAAAGTGTGTGAGGCAGAAGAGAGGAGTGAGCTGGGCTCTGGGGTAAATCAGCTCTGTGTTGAATCCAGCAGAGTTGTGAAACCGTTGAAACAGCAGCTTCTTTTGCCTGGATTTATGGTGTTTTTCATTCACAGACAATTCTGGTTACTTTTTTGAATGTTGAGGGCCACTACATTAGCTCATAGCTCCGCTGCTGATGAGAGTTATTTTTAGAGCATGCACAGTCCCYGCAGGTACCTGATTGCTCGGGGGTCTGTGTTGGTGATTCTCTATGTAGGATACAAAGTTAATTACACGGATGAGTTAATCGTGCAATACTTTCACCTGTTGCATTTTCCTTGCAAAAGGAAAAAAATAGCTTGCCAAGCTGTAGCACCAGTGCTACATGAATATTTTTATAGCACACACAGTTTTTAATCACTCGTTCAACATATATGTTGCWCTGTACAGCCCTGCTTTAGCTCAATGACTGATTGATACATCATCATGTCTGTCTTGGTGAAAGTAGTGGTGGCCATCTTGAATCAGACTGACTATAGTTAAGCAGCTGTAGACATAATAATTTTAGGTGGTTAATTTCTGAGTTTTGTTCAAATCTGTCTACTTGTTAATGAGATATTTTGCTAACAGACAGATATGTGCACAAACAGGTTCCCTGCTTTTTGTCTTTTGTCAGCAAGTGATAACAGCTTGTTCCAGTCTTCTTTCAGCTGGAGAATCCTCCCCTCTGTAGMCAGAGCACTAGTTTCCATTCTTTAACACACATCTGGAAATGATTCCTACAGTCCTTGATATTTGTTCATGCAGAACCCACATGGCTTAATTGAAAATRTGGAMACAAAYAAGSGGCTGGGAAAAGAGACAGAACCTCTACTGTTTGCTCTCTGCCAGCCCGATGAATGAGTCAACACTTCTCCCAGTGCAGCCCAGAAGCTCAAATCCAAGACCAACAGAGCCAAGAGGACTGGACTCTGGTGAAAGGCCTCCAGTGATCCTGAACAACGTGGTCAGAAAGTCTTAATGGTTACATTTCCAAAGCCCTGTATTTCAACAAAAACAAAATATCTGGACTTTGTTAAAGATAAAACCAGTGATGTGTCTTTTTTTTACCGCCAGTTCTTCTAATATTATTAGCCTAATACTAAGTCTATAGTTAGATACCTACTCGTWTCAAGGGACCTTAATTAATGATGCACAAAAGATGTTAGCTGCAGTGTCTTGGCATAAGCTGGAAGATTATTGTGCTGGTAGAAGGTGTTGTAATGCTGTCTCTTTCTGGGTTGAGCCAATAGCATTAAAGGGATATTTTGCTAGKTATCAGTAACAGCAATCAGCTGTGTTATACACCAATACTTTAGTAAATTAATGTGCAAATGATTAAATCTGCCACTTTTTTAGCAGATGAAGATGAAGAAATCTGTTTTATAGGGATAATTATCCAGTTTTGTATGTCTTACATAAGTGCCTGGTGCCGGCTTTCTGTCCCAGCTGTCTTTTGAATGATGTCACTGCAATAATATCTGCTGCAGGGGTCCCCAAACTTTTTCCTGTAAGGGCCACATAACTTTTCCCTTCTCTGGTGGGGGGCCGGAGTCAGTTTGTAACAGAAAAAG